CCCAAGGCAGACAAGTCATAGTGGAGAGTTCTGACTAAACGTGATCCACCTGGAGCAGGAACTGGCAAGTCACTCCAGTATCTTTGCCAGGAAAACCCCATGGACAGAAAAGGCTAAAAGTTATGACATTGGAAGATGAGCCCCTCAGGTTGGAAGGTGTCCAACATACTACTGAGGAAGAGCAGAGGACAAGGACAAGTAGCTCCAGAGCTAATTAAGTGGTCAGGCCAAAGCCGAAAGGATGCTCAGCTGCGGACACACCTGGAAGTCAAAGGAAAGCCAGTGGAGGTGATGGCATTCCAGTCAAACTATTTAAAATCTTCAAAGATAATGCTGTTAAGGTGCTACACTCAATATGCCAGCAAGTTTGGAAAACTCAGCAGTGGCCAGAGGATTGGAAAATATCAGTCTACATTCCAATCCCAAAGAAGGGCGGTGCCAAAGAATGCTCCAACTACGTACAATTGCACTCATTTCACATACTAGCAAGGTTATGCTCAAAATCCTCCAAGGCAGGCTTCAGAAGTATGTGGACTGAGAACTCCCAAAATTACAAGCTGGATTTTGAAGGGGCAGAGGAACTAGAGACCAAATGGCTAACATGCGCTAGATTATGGAGAAAGTCAGAGAGTTCCAGAAAAACATCTACAGCAAATCTGCTTCATTGACTACACAAAAACCGTTGGATGTGTGGACTACAGCAAACTATGGCAAGTTCTTAAAAGAAATGGGAGTGCCTGACCACCTTATCTATCTCCTGAGAAATCTATATGTAGGACAGAAAGCAACAGTTAGAACTCGATATGGAACAACTGAGTGGTTCAAAATTGGGAAAGGAATACAACAAGGCTGTATATTGTCCCCCAGGGTTATTTAATTTATAAGCAGAATACGTCATGTGAAAGGCTGAACTGGAGGAATCCAAACTAGAATAAAGATTGCTGGAAGACATAACAACCTCAGATATGCAGATGATACCACTCTGATGGCACCCACTTAATGAGGGTGAAAGAGGAGAGCGCCAAAAATGGCCTGAAGCTCAACATCAAAAAAACTAAGATCATGGCCACTGGTCCCATCACGACCTGGCAAATAGAAGGGGAGGATATGGAGGTAGTGACAGACTTTACTTTCCTGGGCTCCATGATCACTGCAGATGGTGACAGCAGCCACAAAATTAAAAGACACCTGCTTCTTGGGAGGAAAGTGATGACAAACCTAGACAACATCTTAAAAAGCAGAGATATCACCTTGCTGACAAAGGTCCACATAGTGAAAGCTATGTTTTTTCCAGTAGCGATGTATGGGAGCTGGACCATAAAGAAGGCTGACCACCAAAGAATTGATGCTTTTGAATTGTGGTGCTGAAGGAGACTCTTGAGAGTCCCCTGGAATGCAAAGAGATCAAACCTATCCATTCTGAAGGAAATCAACACTGAGTGCTCACTGTAAGGCCAGATCCTGAAGCTGAGGCTCCAATACTTTGGCCATCTCATGCGAAGATTCACTGGAAAAGACCCTGATGTTGGGAAAGTGTGAAGTCAGGAGGAGAAGGGGACAACAGAGGACGAGATGGTTGGACAGCGTCATCAAAGCGACCAACATGAATTTGACCCAACTCCAGGAGGCAGTGGAAGACAGGAGAGCCTGGCATGCTCTGGTCCATGGGGTCACAAAGAGTCGGACACGACTTAACGACTAAACAACAACAACATGCTTTTCTATACCATATAGAAGATAGGTGTTACTATGTGGCCTATAGTTCTGTAAGCAACCTCTCCAGGGGTTCAAATGCAGCACCTTAGGACCTCCATATCTACCAATTAAAAAAAATATTAGGGTAACTGTGCTGCATGGCTCAGTGGTTAAACTGCTGTACTGGAGCCAAACTTAGTTCATGACTAGGTAACTGGCTCAAGGTTAACCCATCCTTCTAAGGCTGCTGAAATTATTCCCCAGCTCATTGGGTAGTGGGGGGCATGTGGGGTCTGCATAATTAACTTTTAAACTACCTGGAGAGTGCTTAAAGCACTACAGGGTGGTATGGAATACCACGCTTGCTTTGCTTTTGGTTTGAAAAAGTGCACACTAAGGGATGTGGGGGCAACATTGCCATGATTTTAGAACACCCCGGGGCCCTTCCCAACTCCCACATTATTATTATTTTTAAAATATGTTTTGGTTCCTAAAAGGCAGAAGGGAATTTTTCAGTGGTAGTTGTGAAAGTGGATGTGACTATCTAAGGTCCAGGAATAAGCACGCATGGCTCTTGGAGATCATCCATTCCTGCTGTCGTGTGGACAAAGAAGTGTGTTCTCATTTTTTAAAACCAATACAAACTTGGTCCTTATTAAACAGAAGAC